GTAAACTTTAGTAAACATGAAGTTTAAGCTATCCACAAATGTTATCAATTGATCATGTAAACTTTAGTAAACATGAAGTTTAAGCTATCCACAAATGTTATCAATTGATCACGTAAACTTTAGTAAACATGAAGTTTAAGCTATCCACAAATGCTATTAATTGATCATGTAAACTTTAGTAAACATGAATTAGTTGAAATATCAAAATACCTATCTAATTTGTAGAGTTTAAAATATTTCTAAAAGAAAAAAAAAAGTTTTATTAACAAAAATGCTAAAATCAACAAAAGTGTAAGTTCGAATTTCCATACTCATTAAAAATTAAAGTATTTTTTTTAAGCATTTCTGAAAAATACTTAAAAATGTTGGTTTCATAAATAATTTCTCTGATTTTAGATATCAATAACATTCGATTATATAGTTTATATTTCTATAGCACCTATTTTACTATCAGATATCTGGTATTTTAAAAACATTTAAATTCCAATCTGCCAGATAAGGAGTATATTATTAAACCTTAATTCTTAAATGAATCAAAAACAAACATCAAATACAATGATGTGGCAAACAAATAGTTAAATTTTAAGACATTTATATTTTAGGTAAAAAATTTAACGGTTTAACAAATAATTTATATATAAATTTTCTATTTTTTAAAAATATCATACCTAGTTCTGCAGTAGTGAGATGAAGCATAGAGACGAGGTAGATGAGTAGCACCATAGCATCTTAAAATTTCAGAGTTATATATTTTTTTATAAATAAAATAAATAGCCCCCCCTCCCCCGAATTATAAAACTATTTTTCCCAATATCAATAAACTATTTATCGTTTCACTTAGGTGATTTTGACATTTTTATATCGTTAAAACTTTGTATGTCCCTGCCTTCTCTTTCTTAGGTAAGAAAAATTAAGTTTCAGATCTAGATCAATATTTAAGTTAACTAGTTTAAATGGTCCGCCCCTGTAAACCTACTATGTGTCCTACTAAGGATAAGAATTTATTGATAACCTAAACCTATAAAAATATTTAAAAATGTGACTCACAATTGAAAAATTATTTTTCTCAAACAAAAATAAAAGTTCCCTAAGCCGTAAGACCCATTAAAAAAGTATTTTCTGCCTTTTAACAATTTGGGCGAATAAGATTTACTTTTATATTATTTCTTTTGAGTCTAATATTTTGAGTATTACCTGCGCTAATTTGTCAGCAGCTTCCCGCCCACCTTTCACATGAACAGCCCACTCTAAAATATTCTTTTATTATTATTATACTCATTCTTCTAATCTATCTTATTGACAAATAATTTTTCTCATGAATTACGAATCATGTATTTGGATATTTATAATAAGAGTTGTCTTTGACTGCCGTTTAAGCTATCCACAAATGCTATTAATTGATCACGTAAACTTCAGTAAACATGAAGTTTAAGCTATCCACAAATGTTATCAATTGATCAATCTGCCTTGCCTGTCCAAGCCACAGCGCTCGGTCCAGAAATTTTCTTAACCTAACACCCAACCCTAAAATAATGCTATATCTTAATTTTGTGGAAAAAAAATGAAATCGAAGTCGTGTACACAATGAATGGGAGGTTAGGGGCCGAGGGAGGGGGGGGGTGGTCCAAAAAGCGTTCTCTAGGAAAGGCCCAATTCCAGTTTAGGCCCCTAGTTAAGTACAAAGTAGTTAGGTAAGATTTCCCACCATCCCTTTTCTGAATTCAAACATAGGTAATTTCCTAGTATACGATTTCTGGACCCCCGGTCCCCCCTCCAATAATTTTAGTACATGGATCGTATATGTAAGACATGGATGTAATTGACCATATGGCCGCTGCGCCCGACCCCCTATCGTGTCTTAGCCGCAGCTCTCGGCACCCTAGTCAGTCCTAGCCGCAGCTATCGGCCCCCTAGCCTGTCCTAGCCGCAGCGTTTGGTCCAGAAAATATCTATACCTTACCAAACCCTGATAATATACTAATTTTGTTGAAAATTGTTGAAAATGAAGGCCCGTCCTGGCCGCGCCGCCGCAGCGCTCGGCCCCCTAGCCTGTACTAGCCTAAGCGCTCGGCCAAGAAATTGTCTAAACCTAACCTAACCCTAAAATTCAAACAAGAATTTGCTGAAAATAAGTGGTCATGTACAAAATTGATAGGAGGGGGAGGGGGGGACCAAAAATTGTTAACTCGAACGGACCCCAAACGCATTTTGTTCAAAAATTAATATTTAAAATTTCAACACTTTTATTTTTAAACCCATAACGAAGTTTACAACTGACAAGCTAAACAAATTAAGTTTACACATGTTGGGGACATGAAATTCCTAAATAAATCCCTTGGATAAAATACAGAAAATGAACTGAACTATATTACCTAACCTGTTATAAAAGACAATGTTCTAATCTATGAATCATTAGCCGGGATTATCCATGTTTCAGTAGTTTCACTTTTGACTCATTAACTACTGCGAATTGTTGACACCAACGCAATGTTTTGACTAGAACATTTGTGTGTGAGCTTTCTGTTGCAGATGGAAACGTACTGAGTGAGCGAGCGAGATGAGTTGGTTTATCAGCTGACGCCAGGGATAGATATGGTTTCCCGCATTTTCCTTCAATTTGATACGGTGCATTTTTCGCCTCATATTTTCCAATCTTTAAGTTCTTAAAACATTTGTCAAATATTACCCCTCTGCTCAAACTATCGAACGCTCAATCTAGGGCCCTACAGATCAAAATTTCATACAAAATTAATTTTTCGTCTATGCAACTGAAAATGAAAATATATTTTTTTTTTATATTGAAAATAGGTTTTATAAAAATTATCTTTTACTGTATGGACCTAACTGACCAATAAATGGTTTTCCAACGAGTAACAAGACACTTGAATCCTATTGCTAGACAAACTAAACAGTAACAAGACAGTTTAAAGGATCAAATGACTTAAGAAACAGGGGCAAGGGGTTAACCCCCCGCCCTCCCACGTATCTGTCTGGAGTACGGTGTCCTGTCCAGCAATTTGTCCGGTTCCAATCCCCAGCGATATTTCTTCCGTATATTAATTTAACATTAATATATACTCGTACTCGATAAACCATGATGCGTAACTTGGACGGTTCCTAAATTTAACGTTTATCTAACATTTCGGGTCTGTCCAGTGGCGTACATAGGGGGGGGGGCAGTAGTCCTCTTGCCCCCCCTGGGAGTTCCAGGGGGGCCCTGCCCCCCCCCCCCCCTTGGAAAATACAAAATTAAAAGGAAACAAATTTAAAAAGTAACAGCTGACAATGACAAAGACTAAGGATTTGTCTAAATTCACTGTTGTTAACACAAAATTTTAAAATACTTTAGACTAAAACTTTTGCAAAAACTGCAAGACCTCGACATATTAGATACTTACATGATGGAAGATGTAATAAAGGTATTCAATTTTCTGTTTTCTATTTTTTCTTACAGTCAATTAATAAAGGAATTGAGTCTTTGGCACAAACTCAAATATGTAAACCTTTGGAATCTGATTGCTCATAAGACAACATTTTTCATCTTGAAAGATATAAATGAGATGTTTTAAAGATATTCCTATTATATAGATTAACTACATAGGTCGGTTGTGAACATTGGCTGTTCTTATGTCATTGAGTACTTTGGTGTACATGCGTTATGTAGAGAGAAATTTAAGTTAGTTTAGTCCTTCTCATGTCCTTCTTCAGTTCTCGTCAATATGATATATTGCTCAGTGAAATATTGTTGTTCAAAAAGTTCGATTCCCGGAGTTATTTTACACTCTATTCGGGAAGAATGGTTAAACCTAGTAGATTGGAAAAGACCCAATCCGACTGTTATCTGCAATGTTTCCTAGTTATATAAAAGTAAATGGGAAAAAATTGTCAACGTCTGCTGTTCCCTCAATTTTTAACATTATCGGAATCGGAGCTGTTCAATACTGCTCCCTGGAAACTGTTCTGAACGAATATAATTATGCCGTCGCAGCTTGGCCTGGGGGGGTCCAAAAATCGTTCTCTAGGAATATACCAACATTTCCAGAAAGCCTTATGTTACGTAACGTTTTATCCAAATTGCGTAAGCAGCGCCAACAAATATTAAATTTGGCTCCAATGACACAATTACAGCGTAAATTTGCGTAGACCTAATTATGATTTCAAATTAGTGTAAATATTAAATTTTTCTAAAGAAAATATTTTATAACCCATGTCTCTAAGTAAAAATAACAAGAATTTGTGGAGATTATTTTTTTTTTCAGGCATGCAAATTGCGTAAAAATGCGCTCTAACTCTGAATCTAAATTATTTGTGAAACATCTAAAATGTCAGAAAAGACATTATTGCATTTTCCAACAAAATTTTTAAAACATTATAGTTGTTTAATAGAATTTAAGTTTTCTTTATTAGCATTATAAATTCCGAAAAATTGGGCTCTTTTTACGTATGTTTTGAGTGTTTTAAAACTTTAAGAATTGAGTGTCTGAGGATTTAAAAAATGTATATTAAGTAGATGAGAGGAAATTCGTTTTCTCGTGTAAAAATTTCTATTTATTTATCCTTCTATCTATCTATCTATCTATCTATCTATCCAGCTACAGGGTGTCCCACGAAACATGACAGTATGCAGGACGACTTGAATGTCGTCTTGATTTTTGATATAATTTGCTGCGTTCATTTGTCAACCTGATTTTAGAAGTAAATTTCTAGAGATAATAATCACAAAATTTCCCTTGTCCTGCCATTTCCAAAATGTGGTCTGCCTTTTCAGATTTCGACAATTTTGCTTTTATTTAACAAAATTGAAATCTGAACCAAACTCTTTATATCTCCAGTAATATTGAAAGCACAAAAAACGCAGACCACTTTTTGGAAATGCCAGGGCTAGGAGAATGATGTGATAATTGTTTCAAGAATCATACATGTTAAAGTAGATAGAAGACTAAATGTCGCAAATAAATTCAAATACCAAAGACGACTTTCAAGTCGTCTTGCTATTGTCATGTTTCGTGGGACACCCTGTATCTATCTATCTATCTATCTATCTATCTATCTATCTATCTATCTATCTATCTATCTACCTCTGGAGGTTAAAATTTATTATCTCTGAAAATGGGTCATGTTAGGTATCAAATCATTGATTATTTACTGATTCTTAACAGTTGGTTTTGGAGGTCAAAATGAAGGTCAATGACCTCTAATATCAAATTTTCTTCACAACCTTTGAAGATGACCAAAGTTTGAGGCTGCATACAAATTTCAGCCTTCTATCTCAATTTTTAAGACAGCACTACAGTAGTTTCCAAAAATATTTAATGACAATTGTCAGGTTTCTAAATTGATATCAAGAATTGTTATAGCTTGAAAACTTACTATAACTGTCTCTTTATAACCGTTAAAATTCATGAAATTCACAAATTTCAAACCTTGTAAAAAAAAGATTTTTTAAATGGAAAAAAGACCTTAAAAGTGGTCAACGAAAAAATTGCATTTCCTTCTTTAATATATTCTTTAAAAAACGTATCTTTAAATTTTGTGCAAAATCGGAGACATTGACCACAAAGTGTGGTAAATAGGCATGGAATGACCCATTTCCCTTTTCCAGATTTACCGACATTGGGTCAAACGACCTAGGGTCAAACGACATATGGTCAAACGACAAACGGTCAAAAACGCGACAAAGGTTCAAACAACATAGGGTCAAAATGGAAAAAAATATTTTATGAATTATTTCAGGATTAGGTTAGGTTAAGATAATTTCTGAGCCGAGCGCTGCGGCTAGGACAAGCTAAGGGGCTGAGCGCTGCAGGTAGCAGTTTAAATGTACATAAAACATAACATAAAAATATGTATTATTTCAGGGTTAGGTTAGGTTGAGCGCTGCGACTACTAGTTCTAATGAACATAAAAAAGTTCAAATTAACTAAAAATTGTCTAAATTACATTTAGTCCGTTTGTCGCACTTTTTGACCCTATGTCGTTTTACCCTTTGTCGTGTTTTTGACCGTTTGTCATTTGACCCTATGTCGGTGAATCCTTTTCCACGTACTGCACCTACAGAGCGTCCCATATCATATTAGATTATCAACAATCTTTACCTCAAAATACGCACATAATACTTGAAAAATCTAGCCTTTTCTGCCAAAAAAATGTTCCTTTAGCTTTAATAAATTTTTCTAAATGATTCATTCGTCTTAAATTTTTTGATTTTCACCCCCATCGTAATTTAGACCCATTTACGCGGTCTAATTTGATGTGGGACACCCTGTAGTAACAACAATGATCAGTGTAGTTGATTTAAGCAAAATACATACGTCACAATCTAGCGTACATTTTCCTCCACTTGTCCTGATTTTTTTTATTTGTGGAAATACAGTGGTCCACACAAATATTTTATCTAGAGCTCACCCCAATTAGCATTAATAATTTATCTATAATTCAGTTCGGAACCAGCCTTATTAGCGTTGCGGATTCTGCAGTAAATCACAAATTATTGTTCGTTTATTTGTCTTTAAATACAGGGTGTCCCACGAAACATGACAGTTGGTGAATAGTTTTGAATGTCTTCCTTCTTCCACATACTGTATTAGATTAAAGACTTTTTCCAGTTTATTTCTTTTAAAAAAAGTTTAACTTATATATATTTTACTATAATATAAAAATTTCATACGTCTCTTTAGTATCAAACAACTTATCAAATTATTGAAGATGAAGACATTTTAAACTATAGTTTGGTGAATATGTCATGTTTCGTGGGACACCCTGTAGTCTTCATAGACAACCTTCAACCTTCAAGTCGATCTTGTTTATGTATAGTGTCAGTCTGTCGCATAAACCATGGTTATATTTATAGGACTTTTTTGCCCAGTTTACCTTGGTTCGAATCCATTTTAACTATGGGTAAAATTTTCTTGAAGTTTATGAATTCTGAAGACGACATGCAATCCGAAGACGACATGCATTCAGCGCGTCTAAACTAAGAACCTGAAAAATTAGATATGTTGTGTCTATCTTTATTTATCTAAAAAAAAATTTTAGGGATAATTATAAATTAGAAATTTTTAGATAAATTGAAATCTGAAGATTATAAAATTCCACATTATAGTTTGATACAGGGTGTCCCAATAAACATGGGAATTCAGTGACGAATTAGATATCGTCTTTGTTATGAATTGGCATTGTAATACTTTATTTCAAAAGCCATAATATTATAATGTCTGCTAGAGTTCATTTTATGAAAACAGTAAATGGCTGTAAAGATGTGTCTATAATGTCTCCGCAAGATGAACGTGCAGACGGACAAGATTTACTCTGTTTGTATACTGTAATTTTTTTGCTTTACTAAGTACAACCTTATGCAGTGAAGACATAAGCAAACAAATTGTAAACATAGCAGACGAAACTGTTACAGATTACAGCTTCCTCAGTAGGCATCACTATATACTAAATCAAAGAATTATTTTAAAAGACGATATCGAATTCGTCACTGAATTCCCATGTTTATTGGGACACCCTTAGGACTAAAAGTGATGTAATTTACAGTCGTCGTCGTATATATCAACGCAGTGAAGTAAGAAAGTAGAACAATTTTTACTTCTACTAAGCTTTGAAACAGTTTAACATACATCAAATGGAAACAAAGAGAGTTGCTGTCAATTTACAAATTTTCTTTGATTGCTTGTATACACCTTTAGTTTAATTTGCATGTTAAAAAAATAGAATGTAGAATCTTTATCATCAGTATATTGAATTTCTTCTCCTTTGAAAATTTGTTCGTAGATTTCTTTAAATTCTTGAAATGTCGTCTTTTGAGTAAAAATTACAAGAAATCTACGCAAAACGTTTGTAAAACATTAAAACTAAAAGAAACCGCGCGAATAAGATTATAAGATTACTTATTTTAGAGAATAAGAGCTAATTTTTGTTTTCTCAACCTCTTCCTAAACAACTAATTAGTTTTTTGTAGAATTTTTTGAACATTTTTCATTAAAAAATTATTAAAAATTATTCTCAAAAGAATCCCTTCCGAACGAACAATCCAGGAGGATTTCAAAGATTATTTGCGCTCTTGTTGAACAAATTACACCGTAAAAATGTCTCAGTAATTAATCTTGCATTTTCTCAAATGAATCCTGAAAAATCTTTTTTTTTCGTTCAAAATTGTATCCTCGTTTCTCTTCATGTAAGCACTAATTGTTAAAACATGAATAGTTTTCTCTAAGAGCTGTAAAATTATCATAATTGCTTTATAATTACCGAAACTATGAAGGAAAGTCACTCATGCAAACCTTAAACTATAATTAAAATAAGCTGAACAATCTTAATCCTATAATCATGAAGATTTTATTGAACATGTTCGACTTCCTAATTACTATCTATCTATCTTTAAATCCAATGCAGCAATGCACAGGGTGTCCCACGAAAGTAGCAAGACGACTAAGACGACTTGAAAGTCGGCTTAGATCTTTGAATTTATTTGTGCCATTCAGAGACGTCAACCTACTTGAAAAATGACCGCAAAATATTCGTCTAGTCCTGGCATTTCCAAAATGTGGTCTGACTTTCTTATGCTTTTAGTATGAAGAATTTTGTTCAGATTTAAACTTTGCCAAACAAAGCCAAAATTGTCGAAATCTTAATATCAAAATACCAAAGGTTCAACGCACAATGTTACAAAGATATAGGGATCAATGTTTAAAAAAAAAATTTGTGATTCAGTTCTAGACTTTTTATTTTTTATTTTTTTTTCTCTCTTTTCTTTTCTCACTTATACCTTATTTACATTTTTTACTTTTCATACTGATTTATATACAAGACTAAAACAAAAAGAGCAAATGTTTTTCAATTCTTTGGACAAACGCGCATTTAAGCGGAAATTGAACATATTTAATTTTATCTTAGATACAACACAGCTTAAAAATTTTGCATTTTAAAACTATCCACAATTTTCAAGTTTACTGTGACGAATTCTCTATCTATATATAAAAAAAAACTACCTTGTAATAAAACAATACAACAATACCCTGGGGGTGTCATAGGCTAAAAAGAAAAATTTCTTCAAATAACTTTTCTTCCTCGGGAAACACCGGACCCTTCATTTAGTTTTTAATATGTCTTCAACATCACATTTTTATGTTTTAATTAACTTTTTAAACATTAAGGATTAAACAAATCTAAATGAACTACCAGTGTATAGTGATGACTGGAAAACAGTGAAATTATCTCATCTTCTTGCAATCTTGAAATCATAAAATTTCCCAAAGTATTTTTAAACTCGTAATTAAGTTGTAATTGTTAAAGATTCTTTCCAATTAAAAATAGTTATATAGACTTCATTCCACTGTTTTCTGGTTATCCCTGTCTGATTTCTCGAATCAAGTGTTATTATTGTTATTTTGATAATTAATTACATCAGCTGAGAAAGATTTTACATATTGTCTTTGTTGTTAAAATCACGAGGATTTGATGACGTTCGATCTAGGTAAAAATACGTGAAAAACTTGGAAGATTTCCAAGCCCTACTTCCGTGCGGGTTTTCCCATAAATTGCACGGGAACACACTTAACATTATATATATAAAAACTTTCATAACAATTTTATTACTGACACATTTATAGAAAGCAATCATGATAATAGCACTTAAAATCAATTGTGTTTGGGTATTTATGAATGGGTTATCAAATTAAAATAAGAATTATAAAAAGGCAAACAAGTTCAAATTAAGTAAGTAATAGAAAAAAATCCTAAGAAGGTACAGTTATATAATTGTTAGATATATAACCATAATGTTTTATAAAACATAATTAAGCAAAAGCTAGCCCGTGACCTCCGTTTTTTTCTGTCTACAAGGCCGAATAATTTCAAACTAACAAAGACTGATAAACTCAAAACTAGAATAAATAGAAAAAATGAATGATAATTTAATTTTAAGCAGGAATAATAAATTTTTAGATGGAAAAACAGGAATAATAAATTTGTAGATGGAAAAACAGGAATAATAAATTTGTAGATGGAAAATCAGGAATAATAAAATTGTAGATGGAAAAACAGGAATAATAAATTTTTAGATGGAAGAACAGGAATAATAAATCTGTAGATGGAAAAACAGGAATAATAAAATTGTAGATGGAAAAACAGGAATAATAAAATTGTAGATGGAAAAACAGGAATAATAAAATTGTAGATGGAAAAACTAGGAAAACGTTATACATCTAGGATAAGAAAAAGTATTACGGAAAAAGGTGTATCAAATTTTATATCTTTAAAATTGTAATCTATGTTTGTCTGCCCGATCATAACTCATGTCCTAAAACGATTTGCCTCAAATTTTGACAGGAACTAGCGAGAACCACGGGACGGGAATGTTCTTTGTTTAGTTGTGAGATTCTAACTTTTATCGATCAGCTTTTATGGGGAAAATCGCTAAAATCGTAATTTACATCCCAGCGCGGGTAAACGGCGGGAGTACCCTCGGTAACGCTGGGTACTCAAGCTAGGATACTGTATGCCGGGTAAAGGTAGTCAGGACATTGAAAAAGTATTCTAGGAAAAGGTAGTCAGGACAAAGAAATGTATACCAGGACAAGGAAAAGTATACCAGGTCATAAAAAAGTATACTAGGAAAAGGAAAAGTATACCAGGACAGGGAAAAGTATGCCAGGACAAAGAAAAGTATACCAAGTCATATAAAAGTATACCAGGACAAGGAAGAGTATACCAGGACAAGGAAAAGTATACCAGGACAAGGAAACGTATACCAGGACAAGAAAAGTATACCAGGACAAGAGAAATTATACCAGGACAAGAAAAAGTATACCAGGATAAGAAGTATACCAGGACAAGAAAAAGTATGCCAGGACAAGGGAAAGTATACCAAGACAAGGAAACTTATACCAGGACAATGAAAAGTATACCAGGACAAGGAAAAGTATACCAGGACAAGAACAAGTATACAAGGACAATAAAAAGTATACCAGGACAAGGAAAAGTATACCAGGACTAGGAAAGGTATACCAGGACTAGGAAAAGTATACCAGGACAAGGAAAAGTATACTAGGACAAGAAAAGGTTTACCAGGACAAGGAAAAGTATACCAGGACAAGGAAAGGTATACCAGGACAAGGAAAGGTATACCAGGAAAAGGAAAAGAATACCAGTACAAGTAAAGGTTACCAGGACAAGAAAAAGTATACCAAGACAAGGAAAAGTATACCAGGAAAAGATTGACCGCATGTTTTTGTTTATCTAAGTAGGAAGTGCGAAAGGTTAAATGTTTAAAAATAGTTGGAGGCTACATTTGCAAAACATAAATTTTGTTTTTATAAACAAAAATGTGTATTGGCTTGATAAAAAGTGACATCTAGGGGGGGGGGGGGGAGAAAAAAATTTGTAAACACATCATTATCTATACAAACATCATTCCAGGTCTAATAATTGCTCTTATTGATTATTTGATGTTTTCAATATAAAGTAGGTGATCAAAGGTTCCAAAAAGACTTATATATTTGCAAACTATTTCATCTAACAGAATCCAGAGTTTGAATTAATATTTATTTAAATTAAGGTCGACGGTATTTGGTCAAAAAGAAATAAAAAGATGTACAATTAGATTTTGCGGCAAGTGTATACTTCATAAATAAGTTGATGATTTTTTAAAGACAAAACTTTTATTTCAAGGTTTTCTTTCAGGAAGATATCAACACAAAGGAAATAAATTTAAACATTTTTGCCCAACACTGTAATCCAGAGAGATACGAAAATTATGCATTAATTTCAAATTTTATAGTGTTCACTATAGTTTAAGTAGAAGTGAATAATTCCATTTACTGATAGCGCCGATTGAAGGATTCATAACTCTGATGTTACCGCCATACTATTTCTATTGTGCAGAATAGACAACAAACACATGACTGAACCCTGATGGATCAGGCACTACTATACTCAGCATAAGGAGTGGGTTGCGTTCCCTCAGCCTTTGGTTTTAACTCTTAGTTACACTT